GAACACCATTCCCGCTAAAGCTGAGCAGGTAGCCATAGCTCCCGCTCTCCTTGACGACTCCCGGCAACACATCTATACAGGCTCACGAGCGGCAGTGGGAGCCTTTGCATCTGGTTCAGTATCGGCTGAAAAAGGTCACATCTTAGGTAATAGGGATATTTCAGAACACGCCATAATTTGCTCTCCGGCTCACCTTCAATCACATCTGGCCTCCATGGCGAACCTAAATGAGATCACCCACGCCCGAGCACGCGAACTTACTCACCGTGCTGGGCAACCTGCAGGACCTTCAGACTCCAACCTAATGGTCTTTAGAGATGCTCTCCTCACTTTTAACGAAGTGACCAAACATTATCAGCTGGACAGAAGGATTTTCCTCTTTCCTCATATGCAACTTTGTAGTTCCCAGGCATCTACCCTTCGCATGCTTCAAACCAGATCATACCCCAGTCTTTATTCCCGTAGCCAGTTTATTGAAAGCATTAATTCAACATGCCAAGATTGTGGCGTCATATTCACGTTAGAACACATGCTCTGGCAGTGCCCCTCATCACGCGATTCTTGGCACATGACCGAAGAGGAATGGAGCTCTGTGCTCAGGAGCTCAGAACTTGCACATCAACTCTGGGCTGTCCAGAGGGCCCACAACGCGGCGGTGAGGCTCAGCCTACCATTTCCGACGTGGGAGCGGCCCGCTGCTCTATCTCCTTGAGGTAGTGTTCAGCAGGACGTCAATAAAGTTTTGTGTCTGTCTCTCTGTCTGCTAGCCTTGTTTTTATTTTTTACGACGTCGTGAAACTTTGCTATCTCGGGTCGCTACTACAGCCGCGCTATAGCGGCATCGTCTTGGGAATAATCAAATTCCAAGCTCTCAGTGGATATGTACAAGGGTAAACGAAACTGTTCGTAATGAAATCGATATAGGGCATATATGTTTCGATTGTGTTAGTACATGCGGCACGGCAGTAGCTTGGCTTAGTCACTCGTGAATGCGATTGAGACCTAACGTATGACAATTGCCAATGGCAAATGATATGGACAATTTAACCATTCAAATTTTTACGTCTACAGTGTTCGCGAGCCTTTAGTTTACCAATCGGCCGCATTGTCCTGCGCCCGTTTTCTGCACTTGTTTGGTCAGCTTTATTTTCACGCTAGCTTAAAACGTCTGCCTGTCCAGGTTTCTCTGCACTTGTAACAATACTGATTGTTGGCCTAGTTGGTACTTGCTTACTGACATGAAGGACGACGGCGGTGGCGACGGGAAAAAAAAAAACAACAACAAAAACAGCCTGGACTGTCCATATAATTGCTAGCCCAATAAAAAGGGGCCACATGCATTTTTGCGTTCTTGTCAAAAGAATCTAGTAGTGAGCAAAGCTTTGACTCATGCTTTTGCGGCAGCCAGCTGGGCCGTCCTGTCCGTTTACGTGTGTCCCAGGAACACACGCGAGTTGTTTTGACTGAAATAGATTCTGCTAGTTAGGTTTATTCTTTGAGACTGTCGCTTTAGTGAAAAACTCTACCCTCGTGTCTTCGGCCACTCCTAGCCATTATTAGACCGCAACGCTGATAGTGGCATTTGTAATTGAGACACCCCCCCCCCCCCCTACCCTTGCGGAAATCTCCCGGATTCAGAATTCTTGAACTTGGCAGGTATGTCATGTTCTCAAATTCGACTCTTTTAAACGGGGATATGCGTGTTGCTTTCGTCCCATGAACGTGTGCTATTGCTGTGCAATTGTTGATAGACATGCGAGCTGTGTACGATGGGGTAAATATTCGCATATGGTGAGCTCTTAGTAGCTGTCTTACCATCCTGAGACGACACTTTTCCCCCGGAAGTGAGGCGTGTTGCTTATCATTCTTGGGGAATAAAATGTGAGTTGATGAAACGAATATGTAAGAATAATAAACATGCATGTAGCAGCATCGATGTATCTTACATTGAGAGAAGATAGCCATAGGGTGTTTTAATGCAGTCACCTCCCCTGCACTTAAAAAAAAGAACAATAAAAACTTATTTAATCACTTCAGTAAGAGCACTAAAAGCAGAACTATGTTGGGACCCATGATCATAGGCAGTCCTGTTAAAACCGGCCACACCACTATATTACGTCATTACGGCTGTATTGCCTTGATGTAGCAGTGTTTGCGCATGAGCTTTTAATGGTGATAGTTAAAACTTATTCATAGCTGGTCGAGGTAAAATTCTCAAAAAACAAAGACAGAGTAAAGGAATGACACAAGACGAGCGCTACCAACTTGCCCAGTTTTCAATACTACTCATTGAAAACTTACTGTACTTGCAGCACTGCAGTGGATTTCGCAGTAAGGCGAGCTCAGACTAGGGCTCCGCTGCATCTGCCACTCAGTGAGCCAGCTCCATTAGAGAGAACTTGGACTCGGCCGATTGTCCAGGTTCTTGCAGGCCAGTGGCTATTCCCATCGCTCCATTTTAGGATGTTGCCCAACGCGTTTCTCTCTTTAAAATAGGCACAATATTTGAAACAATATTGAGAGCAGAAAAGGAAGAGAAAAGTAAACTTGGTCAGCACGATTGAAACTTAAGTTGCACACCACAACATATCCACTGCACCTTGAAAAATAAATGCGGTAGGGCTGTGTAACAACCAGCACAAACAGCGGCATGGCTTTCTCACAAAAAAAAAAGCAAAATTATGACTCCTTTAGAGCAGTGGTATCAATCTTGATGCATTAACTTGAAATAGAAAACACAGCAAAAGTTATGAAATTGGGAATTTGAACTGCCAAGCTTGCATCATTACCACTTCTCCAACTGCGCGTCAACAAACTGCATCACAAATGCATGACAGCAGCGTCAAAAAATGCCTACAAATTTATGCAACAGGCCCCCACATTTTTACCATCACACTGCAGTGACGGGCCTCCTCACTTTATTCATTGCTTTACGGGGCTGCGTCACTATAGCTGCATAGTTATGACGCAGGGTCCCCTCACTCTAAGGATAGGACGACGCTGACGGGCCCCGTCACCGTAATCACGATAACACTACTCTGATGCGCCCCCCTCACTTTAACGACAGTGCTGCATTGATGGGCCCTGTCACCATAGTCACCGTCTTTCCAGAATGGTGGGTTTGTTTGCTTTCACATAGGTAGGCTGTTTTTTTTAAGGCTAGCTTAGTTTTGATGGCGCTGCCTACTTATGGGTTTTCGATGATTAGTATTTAGTGATTGTGCATGCATCTTTCTATTTATGTTTCTTATGCAAATGGTGCCTTAATCTCAAATGTTTTCTATCACTTTTGCATGGTAGGAAGCTGTTTAGGCATTGGTGCGCAGCCATGATGTGATGTTTCTGGTGAAGGTTTAGCACTTGTGTTATCGGGATGGATGGCTGACGAATGTTATTGTCACCTTGCTAGTTGCAGTTATAAATTTGCATGTCTGCTCGATGAACATCGATTGAAAGTTGAGTGCCTGTCCTGTGCGTCTATTGTCTACATTGCTGTTCCATAGCACAGGTCTGTTTTGCATCACATGCAAGGGTAGTTAAGGTCAATACTTATGCGGCAAGCACTGCTGCCAAAGGGAGTATGAATGTGAGTAAATTGCTTTGAGTGTGTATACAATTCCGAATGCAAGTGGGTATGTGAAGGTGCCAGTGCTCGTGAGTATGAATCAGAGTCAGTACAAATTCTGAAAAAAACGGCAGGCCTGCGCGGTAAGTGCTGCACAGTCACAGCGAAAGCTAGAAGAGCGGCCTTTCAGAGCCTTTTCAAAATACTCATTGGGTAACTACTGCAAGCACACTTTCTTGGTACCCACTAGGGCATTAATAATAAACTTCAAGTTGTGGGCTGGCATTCGCTATGCTATTTTTCGTCAGTCTTCTGAGAGGCGTGGTATCTGCTAAACACTTGCAAGGAATTTCGTGCCAATTGTCCATGCAGTGGCTGACGACGATGAGGAATTACGGTATGGCTTAAGTGGGTATGCACCACAGTTAATAGGGGAACAAGAACAAGCTTTTGTGATGGTTCGGAGCATAGGTTGGCCCGCTCGTTACGCTATTCGCATTGTTCGACGACTGGTTGTTCTTTCGCTGTTGTAAAATGCTTAATAAGTCGTATTAGGGCAATCGCTTTCCTGACATCAAGCCTGCCTGAGGCGAGTTTGACAGTAAGTCACAAGCATTGGTGTAGCTCAGTGGTAGAATACTGGGCTGGCACCCAGCATACCCGGGTTCGAGCCCCACTGTGCCATTGGTGTTAGGTCATGCCTGTTTAAGGCAAGTTTGACTACAAATTATAAGCACCGATGTAACTCAGTGGTAGAATATTGACCTTGCACACAGCTGACACAAGTTCAAGTGCCACTGCGTCATTGCTGCACGGTTTTGTTTTGTAATTTCGCCGATGTGGTTACGAACACCGGCAGTGGTGGACAACAACTGCACGTGACCTGAAAAGTGATCTCGTAACACCTTTCGCTGTAAAAAAGTAGGGTGAGGGGGTATTCTTTTGCAGTGCCGACCAGTGTGTTTGTTGTGTAATCTCCAGAAGCCAGGAGCCAATTACCCGTGAGACTATTGACGCTGACAAGATGTACACACTTGTGACGATTGTCTAAGCTCTGCTTGCTTCTACAATAAGAAAAGGAATTTCCACACAGGCTCTAGTTGTGTGTTCCTTTGAATGTCAGTGATAAATATATTGTGCATTTCTGGAAAAATATAAGTAGTCAGTGCTCATGTGTCCCTGGGTACATACATAATTGATACAGTTCTAATGTATTCAGACACAGATAGTGCTGAGTTGCCATAGAAAACCTGATTTTCATACAAAATAGAAATGAGTAAGCATTTCAGTTCCGTGTTGCATCCACAATGACATTTGCAGAATTGTGCCAGCATGGTATGAAAACACAATTTATGCATATCGTATGCAAGGAAACTGTGTGAACAGCACTCGTGGTTAGTAAGTATATTTGATGTAAATGCTGCTCCATGTGCAGGTGATGGAGTACATGATTGGCGGAGATGTCAAGTCATTGCTGCATGCCTATGGCTTCTTTGAGGAGCCCATGGCTCGCTTCTACACGGCAGAGGCAGCCCTTGCTCTGGACTACCTTCATCGCCGAGGCATTATCCACAGGTTGGCTTTCAAAAGCAGCATCTATTGGTTTCAGAATGTTTTTCAAAGTGGCAGTTCACTCTATGGGCATGAATTGCACAAAATGAAATTAATTTTTTATATGTGCTGATTTCTTGTATACTAAAAATGGGGTCATTGCCATGTCTTTTATGCGAGCCCAGGAAGACCTCTTCTGAGAAATCGAAAACTCGGTGGTTTGCCTTTCAATAAATCTTGCTGCATAGATAATACAATACAACTGTCATCTTCACTTATTTTTGCCACCCAGAGGGAGAAATAACCTGACAAACTTTGGTAATGAAATCTATATCTAAGGTATAACCACTTTCTTGAACCACTTTCTTGAAGGCTTGCCTGTGCAAACGTGCGGCATCCGTTCATTAGCCACTCATGATAAAGTGCCCAAGCATGGTCATTTAAAGGCTTATTGATGCACATCTCTAGTTCCTGGGAAGCCACCTGGTGAGTATGACCACCACATATTTCTGTGGCAACCTGTGAGCTTGCCTTCGGCATGCGGGTTTGAGCTGCACATAAGAGCATTCACTAACGTGAGCTCTTATAGAGAATACATGCGCATTTTGAGAAGCCTTAGTGTGCTCAAATTTGGCCAGGTTTACACGAGGTTTTTCGACACTGCATTCCTTTTTAGTTATTATAGAAAATGTTGCGGACAGATATTTTCCTCAGGTTTTTATTTTTAACAAACTAGAAACAAATATAAAAAAGAACATTAAATTGGCATCACAACATTTGCTTCCTTTATCTTTTCTCATTATGATCAATTGTCATGCATGTCAAGCCTCTGGTTTCCATTTTACAGGCTTTGAAAGTGTTGTATGTACTTATAATCTGATTTAAAAATTGTGCCAAATTCAAGAAGTGCAACGCGGCTCCACCTGGTATCTCCTATATTCTGTGTTGCTACATCCTACTGCCAAGCTCTCATATGACTGTATTCGTGCGCAGCAGTGAAAAGTAAGGGATTTGCTGAGTGAGCTTGAACAATTTTAGGAGGGGGGCTACTGTGCGGCCTCTTTTGCTCCCGTGCATGTTCTGCACGACAATTAAGGGGAATGGTAGGCTAATAAAGGTGTGTGACTGAAACACAAAGCAGCAATTCTTGGTGTGGTGACGGGCTACCAGCACTTTTATAGACAGGGTGTTGAGAGGTCCTTGATGTTCAGAAAACTACCCCTCGTTCACAGCTAATCGTCCAATTTAGTGCTCACAGAGTTGACTGCGATTGCAAGGCGAACAGCAGCGGCTTCTGCAGCAGAGGCGAGCCAATTAAGAGACTCATGTGCTTTTGCTTAGTTTTGGTGGTTAGAAGGGCCCCGCGACACTTTTTGCATAGCCTTATTTAGCAACAGGACCCGTGTAGCAATTACTACTGAGACAAATGCAACAAGAAATATGCAAATTGGTGCACGGAAAGTGAAGTTATGAGTCCTTGAAGTTTCAAACTCGAGCAGATGATGACGAAAAATGTTTTCTTTCACATTTCACTCGCCTGCTGACGTCAAAGACCGCTTCCAATCGTAGCGCACGTCCCATAAAGACATACCGGAAATGTCACCTCATGGTGGCCTTCAAACAATACCTCGCTACCATATTTTTTGGCAGCGGTATTACGAACCCCGTGCGTCGGGTAGCAGACGGTCTCACGGTCACAGCGTGTAAGATACACACATACGCTTTAGGCTGGGACACTTCTCGACTTGCTTGCAAGACACATTCTACGGCAGCGCCAGCGCCCACCGCCTGTCGCATTTTTGGCTCGCTAAAAACGGGGCATGCATTTTCACTTTTAGTGTATGGTGTATCATAGCCTCATTCGCAGGCTAAGTGTTGTGTTCGTTCAGAAAATACATCATTGAGAAGTAGGAATGATTTCTTTCTTAGAATGTGTAAAAAGGTTGTTTTCACACGTATGGCCTAGCTATCACCATATGAATATTGCATGCTATTTGTCGCATCAAGCGAGTCAAAAAGGAACGATCTTTGTCGTCACGTCACGTGGCACGACATCTCTTCCCATAACAAAAATAGCCGATAAAATAGCCGATGTGTGTCACCTGTGGAGTCTGCAGTGCCCCAGGCTCTTGGAGTGAATGGACACAGTAGACGCTGTCGGAACTAACCAAGCAATACATATTTATTTAACTACTTTTGAACAACGATATTGTCCACTGAATCATTGTAACATCAATCGTGATCAGCACGCTAAGACATCCTTACACAATACTACCATACACTCCGAAACATGACAAACACAATAACACACCCAAGTGGCGTAGCCAACCCTTCACTCCCCACAAGGGCCCCCGGCAGACAGCCCACGGTGCTGTGCACTGGGGCCATCCCGCGAGAGACAACTGTTCGTGCCGAACGCCACGGTGACAGAGAAAGAGACTCTCTCCTCTGTGTCTGCCACCACCAAGGCTTGCCTGTCGCCAGGGGTCACCCCCAACGCTACCGCTCTAACAACCATGATGATGATAGCTGTGATCTGAGCTCGCGAACACACCACCTACCGCGCAATAGTTGCGACCCCTGAATGCGGCTTCTGCGCGAGACACCAGCGCCACGAAGCACAAACAACTTTACAGGGGATGTCAGCACCCCTACATTCCCTCAACCTCAATTCAAACCATTTTCTGAAAAGAAAAGAAATCCGTTCACAAGCTCTAACAAAACATGACAACCCATGTCCCTACATAATGTCCGTGCTCGGCGACACCACCGCCGGTCGACACTGCTGCACTGTCCGGCTGGATGACTTCACCTCAGTACCAGTTCTGCAACAGCAATGTTGCCATCGGCACGATGAACCGTCACTCGCGCCGACCCGTCTTCTGGTTGTGACCAGTACTCACGAGGGCGCCGGACTGCAAGCATTTGCGCAGGTCCCAGGCATCTCCATCGCCCGACCTCACGACCACATTCCTGGCCAGCGGGGCTGATGACGTGCAGAAGACAGCCAGCCGCGGGTTACATCATTCCTGCTGCGTACATTCCAAAGCACTTGAAAGAACGACGCAGTAGGCCAAAGAAAAGGAAGCTTCGGGCTCCTCGCCCACATGGTACGATGGTCAGTACTGTTAGCTAATACACTGGCTGCAACCGAAACGCCCATCAAAATAAATCAAAAATCACGTTTTGCTAGCTCGTGCACTGCTAGAGGAAAAAAAAGTGAAGCAAAGTGCAAACCCTCCACGCCACGATCCACCTAGTTTAGCCACGTGCGACAGGCGGCTGTGCAGAGCCTTAGGCCTATTGAGTCGCTCGACAACAACCCGCATCCATCCAGCACCCAGCCCAGGCGCAGAAGAGGCAGCTGCAAGAAGACATACACTCTTTGAGGTGGCCCTATCGCTTGCCACACACAGCAGCTTACCGAGCGATCGGCGTCCACCGTACCGAACAGTGTTACGGCGCCAAGTCGCAATACCAGACAGCAACGACGCCCGGCTCCCTGAGCCCTAAAGAGATAGAAGAAGCTATTTACAGAAAATCAGACCACCCACGAGGCTTCCGTACTCACTCGCTTCGGGCTTGGCCTACAATCCACCTACTCTAAGCTTTGCTCACCCCAGGGTGCAGACCGCACGGCTCTCGCAACAACTGAGCAGCGTTCTTTAAAACCAACCACAATAACAAAAAAAAATCACACTTGCGAGCAGAAAAAATAAAAACTCAACGTGCCGACAAGTTCAAACACGTAAAAAAAAAAAAAAAAAACCAATCTCTTCGCTCTCAGCAAAGCACACTGCCGACGCTAGCAAAGAAGTCCCCCTAGGTCTACTCTACCCTGGCTCTAATCAAAGCATGCTCCGAACCGCGAAAACTGTCGTCCGATGGTCCAAGAGCCCCACGTTGGGTGGCATGGCTATATTCCGTTGCACTATAATTTTGAAGAGTTACGTGATGTCAGATATAAAAAAGTTGGCTGCCAGCTTTACAATTTATTGCAGTCACTTTCATTGCTTCACCATTCCAGTGGAACTGCTTTTTATAACATGATGGCAGCATGCGGAAAATAAATAAAGGATGGCAATCAGGTAGCTCAGAATAAGGGGGGGTGGTGTCCTTTTTCTGGAACAGAAAAGCTTAGCAACGGCAGGTGCACATGGCTGCTATTCGAACGCATGTGCCAATTCTTGTTAATTTGGCCGCTGTGCTTTGCGCTTATCGACTTGGCGGTTGATGCCTGTGGGTTCAAGTAAAAAAAGCTTAACATAGATGGCTATTCACAACCAAAGTCTCTGTTGCCCCGTTAGGGTGATGGAATGAATGCGATAGCAGCAAATTGTAACGTTGTATGAAGTGAGGCTGGCAGCTAACTTTTATTAATCTGACCGTATGTAACTATACAAAGAGCTGGTGTACGAGAGTACGACCACTTCGAGGAGAGCATAAAGCACTGCGCGGGCCTGGGCTCGAAAGTGCGGGCCTGGGCCAAGCCTGGGCCGGGCCTGGGCTTGAAGCTACGGGCCGGGGCCAGGCCTGGGCTTCAGGCTGCGGGAGCAATAAAGATTTTCTGTTTTTTTTTATTTGTGGTTACTTATACAGTACAATCTGTAAGTAAACAAAGATATTTGTTACTCGCATCCTTCATTGTGCCTATAAAGGTGTAGGCCGAATCGTATGTGGCTATCCTTCTGGTCAAATTGGAAGCCGTAAATCACCTTCAAAGCTTCATATTAATTTTCGCTTGGGCAGTGAGGGAATTAAGGGGATATAAATTGTCACAGACATCGCAAGCTCGTAACTGTCTTGTCGAGGCGCGTATGTGAAGCATCTTAAGGTGCAGGCGCGTGTAATTCGCGCCATTCAAAAAATGAAGGCCCTACCACTTTGCAGCGACCACTGCAAGATTTGATAACTCCTCATGCTTGAGCAGAAATCAGAGGCACGCGTGGGAAGAAGCGCATAAGAATAAGAGAGTAAAGACGGCCTCCGTTGCTAGGCGACACCCGGCTAGGCGAAGCATGCGC